CTGTCTAAAAAACAATGTTTGTTTGTTGTTACATGAAATATTAATTCTTATATGACATTTTCTGTAAAGAACAGTTTAATAAAAGTGTCTGTAAAGAGCAGTTCAATAACAAGATCATAAATAAGTAATATAATTCACAAAAAAGGAGAATTTACAGTAAAGTGACAGTGATAAAAAACATAATCCATTTGTTCTTAAATGGCAGCTGACAATTGCCAGGTTCAAACTGACAAGTGATTAGTCTACACAACTCTATGATATAGAATATGACATCCATTTTATAATTTAAAAAAGAAAAAAAACATTTATGAACACTTGAGCAATTGTTTTGATGTACTATGACTGTCAGAACACATATTAAAGTATGTGTTCTAAAAGTAACCATGTTTTGGAACACAGCTTTGAACATGTCATGTTTAGTGAAATATACTCCGTGGATAAAATCCTCCATGCAGGTGTGCAAGTTCTTGGCTGCAGATTTGAACAAACAAAATTATGTCAACAAAATTATTTTCATTAAGTTAATTTTTCATGCTCATTAGAAACAATTATTTTTTCTAAACCATTTAAACCATTATCATTTTGGTTAAATTTTAAGTCAAACATATCTGTACCAGCAAAGTGGATTCTTTTCAAGCTTGTGAATCACATATGTCTACTATAGTATATATCTGGATTTCAGGGCTTGACTGAAGGTCGGGCTATAATAATCAACACCACTTAAGCTAGCTAGATTGCTACCTAACAGGAATGCATGGAAAAAGCTATTAGATGTTGCAAATATACATTTCTGTTGCTACAGGAGATTTTATCCACAGAGAATGCTTCCCCCAATCAGGTTCATCCACTCAGAACAATATAAACATCTGATGATTTTTGTTTATTACTGGTCTTAAAAAAGTCTGACAAAGTTCTAAATAATCTTGCTTGATCGTAATTCAATGATTATTTTTCCCTTAAATATCAGCCTATTTCTGTAGACTAATTTCTACTGAGACCAGTCAAGCTTTAACGAGCTATCAATAAGTAATAGGGTACACCTGTATTTGTTCATCTGTTTATCTTCTTTCGGGTACCAGTCTCAGGTTTGAATATTTGAACCAGTCAAGTCCCTGTGAATATCATTTTGAACTGCAGGCAACCAGTCGCGAACATTTGAACCCTGGTACCAGTCAAATGTTCTGTTGATTAAAGTGAATTCTATAATTTATTTGTTTTATGGAACCAGTTTAAATAAAACAACACTGTTAGTTGAGGCATAACACTGGCTTACACGATGACAGATGAAATCTCCGAATTTACTGGATGTCAGTTGTGTAGAGATATCATTTCATTGTATGCATCAGCCTGAAAAAATATACAATATACATACATATAAAAACATTTCTTACATAATTACATTCATCAATTATAACTTTATTAGATATTAGTGGTGCTTTTAATTAAGAATTATTATTTCCAATGAAAAGGTTATAAATTGCTTATATAGATCATCATTACACGTGTAGATTCCACTGACACAAGCTAACACAGCATATAAAATCATATATATTCTACACAACTCCGCACCTTTAAGATGGCATATTTATTTATTATCCTTACCTATTCTCACAAGTATCACCAAGTCATTCAATTAAACATTATTAGTCAATTATTAATACATTTTGTAACTAAATCACTAAATGTTATAAATGAAAGTAACATCAGTTGGTCGTTTTTATTATTTTTTATTGTTTCAAACTGTCAAAAAAACCTAACAGAAACAAATTTTCTTATTCTTTGCGTATTAAATAATAACGGTATTTTTTTTAACTTGATACTGTGCGGCTTGCATGCACCTTAAAACAAATAAGGAAAAGCTGGGATCATTAGAGCAATGAAGGACCGTCACCAACCTTATCGCCAATCATCCAAGGTATAAGCTAAATGGGAAAGCGTAGGCAAATACAATCAAAAAGGTTTCTCAAGTTTCTTTTTTCCTGCATTTTACAATTTATTTATATCAATATAGACATGTTTAGAGTATAAGCTAAGTAACAAACCATAGGCATATACAATCAGAAAGGTCTCACCATTTTTTTAGTGCATTTTACAGTTTATTTATTTTTAAAAAGACACTTTTAGTTGAACCTTATTTATTTGTATGAAAGCTGGAAGCAAATCTGAAACACTCTCGAGTCCATCTCCTGGAACTAACCAGTACTGGTGTCATATGAGGAATAATGGTAGTTACCCAATAATGGGCTCAAACCAATTATCCATGGGTTGAGAGGCAGGTTTCATCACATGGGGGAAAAAAAGAAGAGATTTTTTACCTACTTATTGCTTATGCAATCCGACATGAAACCATTAATAAAGTAGCAGTTCTTAGTATCAAGTTCTTAGCTTTGCAAAAGATCTAGCAAATTCTTAAGCGAATGATCCAGTTAGTTCTGGAATCAATTTCCAACAAGCAAAAGGATAATAATAACAACAGGTTATTTTAAATTCTAGCCACACATGTTTTATTGGCATAATATATATATAGTACAGGATCAGTGCAACACTGTAGTAATTTAAATGAACATGTTAATGTTACAGTTAACTTTCAATGTTCTCTTGTATAAAATTAGCTTTAAGCTTTTTTTAGAAGTCAGTTTGTCACCTTTATAAGAACCAGAAAAGTTAAAGCAAAAAAATAACATTCTGATCTAAAAAAACCCTAATTTAAAACCCTTTTTAAAAAAATTTTAAAAATAAAATTTTAAAAAAAGTAAGGGTTTGGAAAAAAGGTTTTTAAAACCCTTCCCCAAAAACCTTAAAAAAATTGGCCCCACCTTTTTCAAATGTTTTCCCAACCCTTAATAAAGTTTTAATAAACCCTTATAAACTTTTATAAAATTTACCATTTTTAAATTTAAAAATTTTAAATTTTTTTTTAAATTTTTTTTTTTTGCAAGATTTTTTCCAAGTGCATTCCCCTTTTTTAAAAATATTTTTAAAAATTTTTAAACAAAAATTTTTTTAAAAAATGGAAATACAAATTTTAATATTTTAAAACCCTTTGTAAAAGGGGAATTTCACAGTTTTAATTTAATTTCAAAAAACAAAAGTTTAAAAACTTTAAATAGGAATTTTTTAAAAGGGAAAAAAAAAAAAAATTTTTGGGAAATTTTTGGGAATTTTTTTTTGCTGATTTTAAAATTTAAAAAAATTTTTCCCAAAAACCTTATTTAAGTTTAAGAAACTAGAATAAAAAAATAAAAAAAGAAAAAAAGGATTTGAAACAATGTTCATTAAATCCCCAACAAAATTTTTATTTGGGAGGAAAAAATTAAAATTTTCCCAACCCCAACACAAATATTGTTAATAAAATTTTATATTTTTTTTTTTTTTTCCCTTTTGGAAATTTAAAATTTTTTCCCAAAACCCTTTTTGGGGAGGAAAAGGTGCCTTTAATTTTTCCCAAAAACGGGCCCATAGAACCCCAAAATTCCCTTTTTTGGGGTTCCTTTAAAAACCAAAGCCCGCGAGGCAGGGGGCAAGGGGAAAAAAACAAAGGGAAAAAAAAGGGCCCGAAAAAATTTAAAAAAAATTGAAACCCATTTATTTTATTAAAAAACCCTTGATTTTCCCCAAAAGGGGAAATCATGCCTTTAAAAAAATTAAAGTTTTAAGGGTTTCCAACTAAGTGAGTTTCCAGGTTTCCCTTTTTTAAGGCCCAATTTTATGTTGTACCATTTTCTACTGGGGGGCCTTGCTTTGGCATTTTTACCCCTTAAAAAATTTGGGGATTGACAAAAAGGTATACCCATTACCCCTGTTTTTTAGGGAAAATTATTCACAAAAAAACCCCAAAAAATAAACCTTCCCAAAACATTTTTTTTTTTTTTAAAAAAAAAAAAAAGGGGCAAAAATTTTTAAAAAAAATTGTTTTTTTTTGTTTCCAACAGGTTTTATATAAATCTTTAACAGTTAGAATTTACTTATTACTTAACCACTGATTATTCAATAAATCATTTTGAGGAAATAAAACTGGAAAGCATGCAGCTTCTCTTTTACCCTTTTTTTCCAAACAAATTAATACTGCTTAATTGAGGATAGACAGCAGAAATTCTCCCACTTTTAAACTGGCTACAATGTACATATATGAAACTCCTACCAAAAATCAAGACAAATTTCCAGTTTATTTTTCTATAAAATCTAACTTAAAATAATCAACTGTATTAAAGAAATGCTATAGTTTGAACAAAAATATTGGATAATATACAAAGAACATATATGTATCTTAAAGAGATAAGATGTATGAAATAATTTTTTTAATTCTATAATACAAAACAAACACAAATTTCTACAATCATGTATCAATAATAAATAAATAGAACCATAAAAACACAAAGTGTAAATTTTACACAGCGACTAGCTTATAATTTGATAAATGCTTTTAAAAATGAGTTTGAAATACTAAAACAATAACTACAGAAAGTTGATGGTATGAAAATACAACCTTTGTTATATAACAAACACTGACTATTCATTGTGACACATTTAAAACTAATTTCGTGATTTTTTTTAAACTCGAAACAATGCAGCTCAAATTTTAAGGGTATTATAAACCATTCTTTTGGTTTGCTACTTCTGATTATGCTTGTTCTAATCGATCACTCATTGATTACCCTTGTCTAAATGGATCCCTCATTGATGACGCTTGTTCTTATAGATCACTCATTGATTATGCTTGCTTAAATCGATCTCTCGTTGATTAAGCTTGTTCTAATAGATCACTCATTGATTACCCATGTTCAAATTGATCACTCATTGATAACAATGGTTCTAATCAATCACTCATTGATTATGCTTGTTCTAATTTATCACTCATTAATTACACTTGTTCTAATTGATCACTCATTGATTACGCTTGTTCTAATAGATCACTCATTGATTACGCTTGTTCTAATAGATCACTCATTGATAACCCTTGTTCTAATTTATCACTCATTGATTACGCTTGTTCTTATATGTCACTCATTGATTACGCTTGTTCTAATTTTTCAATCATTGATTACGCTTGTTCTAATTTTTCAATCATTGATTAGGATTGTTCTAACCGATCACATGAGTATGTCAGACTCGCAAATGTTTGAGTTCACTTAATTTGCAATACCAATAAGGATTTTAAAATGATTCTTTCTACATTTAAATCTCCAAATATAAATAATATAAATAAGTATAATCTTTTTCTTTAAATATATGTAATTGAACATGTTCCTCCAACTAACATGATACATGACTGTACTTAATTCCATGTACCAGTATTTTTTTCCAAATAAGTAAATCTAAAGTATCATCAACAAATGGTCACCTAGATGTAAATCACTAAAATCTTGCATATTTATACATTATTTTGAAACTCTTCAAAAATTGATAATTATTTCTTGCATAATTGATAAATATACTGGAAAAATCATTGCATCATCACAATAAAAATAAGATGATAAAATTACATTATGTATGACTATCTAAAACATCAGAGGAGAAAAAATTCAGGTGCATTCTTTAAAGTTTTGTGAAACCTTTAATAACATACAGAATTGTGAACTTTAAGAGGTCAGTTTCAGTGTCTAAAATAAAAATCTTGTCTTAAAAAAAAAGACAATGGCTAAAAAGAGATGTAAGTTAATCTTAAAATGAAATTTTAAATGTGGTATCTAACTTTACTCTTTGTCAAAAGTAAAATAAAAACATTGATTGTTCTGCGGCAAGCCTTGGCCATATACCATTGCCATCTATTATGGGCTATCAAAACTTGAGACCAGTCTAAAATTCGAGCATCTGATTGGTTCAATTTTCCTACAATTTCGAAATTAACCAATGAAAAAGGCTGGAAGCTTAGACTGGTCACCATATTTTTGATACCATCCTTGGAACAAAAACTTACCCAGATTCATATCATAAAACGCACATAAAATCAGAGATTACTAAACCTGGACAAATAAAAACAAAACTATACATTAACACAATAGTAATTGTCATTCTAAAAAATATATATACCGTAGAAATATAGATATATTCATGCCAACAATAAACAGTGCTAAATTATCAACTTAAGTATTTTTCATTGAAAAATCTAAGAAACCTAAATGACCTGATTTTTCTAACCAATTGTTTTACAGTAAATATGCTAATTTTAAAAGTTAGATGAATAGTTATTAAAACTGACTAAAAACAATGTGAAATATATCTGAAGCAGAAAACTTGATTAAATATAAAGTTTGATGTCAATATTATATATACTCATTTAAGACAATTCCTTCATCAGTTTTAACACTTAGAAAGTAAAAAGTAAGACAACTTGTCTATATTACCAGCATACGGGTAAGTCAGTCGCCATAATTGGCATCTCTATATAATAATTGTGACATGAAATTTGTAGAGCTGTCATCGATAAAAAAAACTAATATCGTTGATCTCTTTCCAGTGATCAATCATCAAATACAAATTTGAAAAATTAATTATTCTGAATAATCAGTATTGATTATATGTCTCGAAATTATGAAAATCCACCCAAATATATGAGCCGCATCACAACAAAACCAACGTAATGCGTTTGCGACCAGCATGGATCCAGACCAGCCTGCCCAGCCGTGCAGTCTGGTCTGGATCCATGCTGGTCGCAAACACATAATGTTGGTTTTTATCATGACGCAGCTCATACGTATATAGAACCAGCTATGCTGTTGTTATGTAGTGGACATATTTCATAGCAATTATGTGAAAAACATGGGTAGAATTTAATCATGCAATGAGCATTAATAAACAAGACACATCATAATTGTATGGTCAGAACATGTATTTTACTTCTAATCATTTAAACACAGGTATGGAAGTAAATTATAGACAAATAATTATAAATATATATGTGTATCAGTGTATATGTGTATCAGTGTAATGTCAATATTTGTCATCCGATGCCAATATTTCGTCAATCTGCTTTGCACTGAATCAATGACAACTCTAGAAATTAAGTCTTTTCACTTCGGTTAGAAAAAAATTCAATCAAATTTCCCACTGTTATTGCTTACAGACAGTAAAAACTTAAAAATACTGAAAAATGCATAATTCAATGCATATGTGTACATAATATAAATATTACACAGAATATATAACAAACAAATACATACTAGCTTAACATAATTATTATAATATGTATATAATATATATATATTAATATCTTATTGCTAAATTTGGATAAACAATGAAGTGTTTTAAACAACAAGTACTCTACAAAACAATTTACAGGAATGTAATTGTATTTATTTATGCTGATTGAAAATTGATAATAAAATCATACTGATAATTATAATACAAGTTAAAAATTACTATTGGTATTCTTGTGAAGAAATAAAACCAAGCTAACATTTTGGTGGGCTCTTGGACTTCGGGACTCACAAAAAGAGGAAATGGAATCCCATCCTCAAAAAATAAAATTATCCCAGTAAATTTTCCTTTTGCGGATAAAAAAACCCATGGTGCCTTTACATCAGTTTGTATAAGAAGGAAACTTGAAGGGTCTCTTAGCATACTATTTGGAAAAAGACCAATGGCCTCCCTATTTTGCTACTGACCGAGAAAAAACAAAGCCAACACTGCAGTTGTTGGAGAAAGTGTACTAAAATTTACTCATCAAAATCATGATATCTTTATGTAATATTCTGGGTCTACCTTAACTGAAACTTGATCCATCAAAAATATATTACACAAAATATCTTAAAATTCTTTGTTACAAATTAAAGGTAAACACTTCAAAATTTTAAGCCTTTCGAGCACCTATGTTGAGAAGTACTAGGGTATAATATCTGGAAGTTTTCCGCTGTGAAAGTTTTGCTGGGTAAGTTTATTAATGGAGGTATGGTATCAACAAGATCTATATTCAATTTCTTAAATTAATATTTCAAGGTTTGAAAAACATTAACATTATCATAGATTAGAATGTCAAAAAAAATATAATAAATAAAGTTTTCAATATTTAAACAGTCAAGTACCATATTCAACAAGAGGTGCTATGTTTTCAAGGCACAGTGACTAACTTAGTACCGACAATTTTTCTCTTTAGACTTGCATGCCTAGGGTTCAACATGAACACTATCTCAACCTTTATTAAATAAACATGTGACCATGTTTTGCTGAACTTTATATATAATATTAATACAATGCGTATTGACTGGTCCGTGTAAACACATTTCAAACACAGAAAAATATAATTAGACCAATAATATAAAGTGTACTAAATGATAGTAGAAAACAACTTCAATCTCTGAATACTAGAGAGTATAATAACAGAGCCTGTACCACCAGTTTAGAGCCTTGCCAACCTACATGTCCATTCAGTCTGACCAGACTTCATACTGACTTGTTATTTTTTACATTTTAAAATCAAAGCCCCAATATTATCACAGGATAGTTCCTAATTCCTGGCAGATTCATTGAACAAGTTCTGTAGAGGCAATATAGATTACAAGTAGTAGGTAAATGACACTGTGTATAACCAATGTTGTAGGATATACAAATTTTAAATGAAAATATTATTATTATTATAAGTGTACACATGAAAAAATGATGTAACAGTCTTTAAATCATTAAACAGTAGCGTTCACATGAAAAATGTGTAAATAAACAAATGAGACTTTTCTTGCTTGACTAAATTCTGATAATAAACCTTGCAAAAAACCTTTTTTTAATTTATAAGGATTCTAGAAAATATGAGATAGCAACGCCATTCCAATGAATAATTCATTTAAAAAAAATAATTTCCATATGAAAAGAGGGTTGTTTGGTTCTATCTAGCTATGGGAAGATTGTAAAACATGTCAAATTCTCTCCAGTTTAAAATGATGTTTTCTGTCAGCTGCGCTTCCAACTTCTTTTGCTTTTGAACAACTTAATACTGTACTGTGTTTGAACTGTGTTTACACATATTCTGTATACATTAAGTAGATCCAATTTTAATGAGTGACTTATCCTGACTGACCAGTGTTGCGTATATATATACTGATCAGCATAGATCACTGATTTCAAAGAAAAATAAATAATCACACAGGTCCTATTTACAATTATACAAGTTAATTCTGTACAGTAACACACAGTAACATTTATTTTTTATGATCAAACACAACTTAAAAATAATAAATACAAGCCTAAGCAAATCTTCAATTCTAGATGCAAAACAAAAACAAAACAAATGTAAATCAACCAAACATACATGAATACTTTTGAAATAAAATTTTGTCAAAGTTCAAAAGAAAACAAATTGTGAAGAAACCATAAAGAGAGTAAAACAGATAAAAGAAATAAAAAAGCTGTCTTTGAACAAAAAATCTCAAGATTTAAATTCTAGTGATCTGAATCTCATGACAAAAGGGGAGATAAATTCAAGATGACCTCAAAGAGAGAAAAGGGGGAGATAATTCAAGATGACTGTGGCAGAATTTTGTATATTTTTGAACACAATTTTTGTATTTCGGTAAACAACATTATGAATCTGAATGAGATTTCCCTCATGTAAATATATACATGTAAATGAGACAGTTTAACTATACAACTACAATAAGGTTAAAAGATGCTTGCAAGACATGGTTCAATACTTACACTAGGTACAATTATGAGAATATTAAAGTCATTTAACTATGAACTCCGACCCTCTGGTGCAGTTACTTTGAACTTTAACCTTCAGACACAATTTGAGATTACTATCACATGAACTTTGACCTTCAGACAAAATTTGAGAACTATACAGTCAATAATACAATGGTACATGCTTTCTGGCTCTTATTGTAAGACTTTTCAATAATTCTAACATTGGCAGTCAATTACCCAGATACTGTCAATCTATTTTAACATTTAATATTACAATTACTATAACTTACCAAGAAAAAGTCCTGATTAAACTTTTAAATGTTTCAGTCTTTAACTTCTTCATCATTCAAATAGCAACACAAGAATTAACATTTTCTGTATCATATCATCTTCAGAACAGAAATTTTTTTCTAAGACAGATAATATTACAAAATTTCTGGGTATTTTTTATTATTATTTTCATTATTATTAATATTATTATTGACATTTGCTTAATCTGGAAAACTTGAGATTCTACTTAATTCATGTGACTTTAAACTGTAAAATATTCAACCAATGAAATCCCATATCTCTAGTCAAATAACATTCTTATTTCCAGATACTGGACATTCTAAGATTAAGGAGTCAAAATGAACCTTACAGCAGCCCTGAATGTTTTACCAACCATAGACAAACTTGATCCAATTAAAAACTCAACAATTGTGCACATTGAAAAGTTGGAAGTATGTGTTCCATAATTGGCATTAAATATCAAGCTCATAACCTTTTATAGAATGGACTAAATAATCAAACAAGGTCAAGATGGTTACATGTGTAAAACCACAAATCCCACCCACACTTGTGATGAGTAAAACACCACTTCTTTAAAAATATAAGAAATTAGGTCAAGATGAATAAACAGTGACCCCTCTGACAACACAACTTGGAGTAAAATTAAGACCAAACATTATTTGACAATAACAAACATTTGAAGTTTACCTCCGTTAAAATGATTTCAATCCATTTAGTTAAGACAATACAGATCTTGATAAAGTTTGAATAAAATAAATAAATGAATTTGAACAGATTTTTTTTGTAGCAAATTTGAACAATATTGTTTGAACATAAACAGCTTTGAACTTTAGGTTAAGAAACCAAGAAATATGCTTAAAAGTTTGATTTGGTGCAATGCAATGTCTTAAAAAAAATTAAATATAAATTTTACAGTCTTGACCTTTGACCTTATCACCATAACATTAATCTCAGATTTTAAAGTACAATGTAACTATCTTTTAAGACATACTATCAATGAAAATCAATTAACAAAGAATACACACATACGTTTATAAATACTTTAAACATTTTGTATCATACCTACAAATTTAAACTCTTTTCATAAATTATGGTACTATCTTCACTCATGTATGCCGTTAAGTTCAAAGTTCATAATGTTAAGTTTTCAACTTTACAAAAAAGTTGAACATTAATGGTATAGATGAAACATTTATGAGAAGAATGGTACGATAATTTTGAAAAAATAATGATGTATGAGAAAGGGGAAAGGGGAGACAACTATCATTGTGACATGTAATAATCTGGATGTTCGCCGTCCTTTTCAAATCGTTTAGCTTCCTCCTGCATAGATTCTTTTATCTTTAAAATGGCCGCACTCTCTCCCCCTTCCTGTAAAAATTAAGACAACAATATTCATAAACGTACAATTTGTACGTCTTTACTTTAAAAAAAAAACTATGTCATGTGCGTTTCACAATCATTAGCAGCACTTACTGTTGCAGAAAATAACAAATTTTTAAGAATATAACTTTTTGAAAGGAGAATGTAAATAACATGTTTAAATTTCGAAGAAAAAAAATCACTTCATTTCTTTCTTTTAAAAATTAAAATAAATATGGGGCTACCAAAACAAATTTTCATGCTTTGCAAAAAAAAATAATGGAAAAAAAAAGCCAATCAAATTAATAGATCATAAAAAAAAACCTTATGAAATAATTTTGTTGCACACTAAAAATTCATTCAAAGCACTATGCATGTATGTAAAACGCACTATAACTGAAATAACAAGTCAAAGAAGGGGTTGAACATGCTTGTCAAAGGTCAAGTTTTCTACGCATATACATAATGGCTTTCAATAAAATGAGCCGCCTCATGACAAAACCAACACAGTGCGTTTGCGACCAGCATGGATCCAGACCAGCCTGCGCATCCGCGCAGTCTGATCAGGATCCTTGCTGTTCGCTATCAGTTTCTCTACTTGTAATAGAGTTGGTCAGCGAACAGCATGGATGGATGCGCAGGCTGGTCTGGATCCATGCTGGTCGCAAACGCACTATGTTGGTTTTGTTGTGACGCGGCTCAAATGAAAATCAAAATCATAAATCACCACATGAGCCAAAAAACGCACACCTGAACAACTAGATAATAAAACTGCGTAAAAATAATTGCGGCACTAGTTCTTTTATGGTACAACATTGCATCGCATACAAATAAACTTTGATTTGGTGCTACCTCATCTATGGCAACTATACAATTACAACATTGCTGTTCCTTTCATACTTTAAACATTTATAACACCAGCCTTGATTGGACAAAATCTTAAGCAATTTAGTGACATAATAAATTACTTTAAGCTTTGGAGTGTTTCTTTATCGCCAGCTTTTAACGAAAAAAAAAATCCATAATTTTGTTGGGAAAAACAGTAGAGAACGGAACTAATAAATAAATGGGCTTAAATATGGGTCATCAAAATTTGCGGCTAAAGAAATTAGAAGGCTACAAACATGAAAAAGCCATGCAATACAAGTAATATACTTTCAGAAAATATTTAACATGTCACAAAAAATAATAAAAAAAGTTCATACAAAGCAGTTATTAACAGCTTACAAACTTTTCTTTTTCTTTCATCAAATAAATAAAAAAAATCAGAAATTTTTTCTCAAACATGTTTAAATTTGATGTTTTTTTTATAAAGCTTCATTTGTATTTTTTTTTAAACTGCAAACTGAATGAAAAAGTGAGAAATAACTTTTTTACATTTGTTAAACTTCCTCTTGACTTTTTTGTTGTCACTGTTTTCCATACGATTGCCTCGAGCAAGGTCTCGTCTTTTTATAAAACTTTCTTTTTTTTCGCCGCTCTCATGCAAATCTTCTTCTGTACTAATGAAGTCTTTATTATTTTATCCTCTTCTAGCCATGAAGTTGTCCTCGGATGTTTTCAGTGTATTAAAAGTCGCTGCGAAAAACTAACCGTAACGTATTATCTTGTCAATTTTTGCTCTTTCCATTCACTGATTGTATGATTTGTGGCAAAATGCAGATGCAATTTTATGCAAGCATACATATATATATATTTGTAAAGTATTTTCAGCATGAAAAACTGACTCCAATTCAATGAAAAGTATTTGCAAGAAATATTCATAACCTTACCGCAGGTGTATATTTATATCACATATCTTATTTTCTAATTGTATTACATTTCAGAAAACCCTATACAGTTTTTCTTAAATATTTACCCTATGTTCCGTATGATTTCATGACTATGTCATTTTTTTCATCAATTTCTTTCAATTTTTCAAACATTATGTAACTCTCTTTTTTTTTATGTGGCAAATTCCTGACATTTCCTCAACAGTGCTAATTGCACAATTTGATTTAAACCAACGAAAGACTACGACTTCATTTCATTCAACACACTTTACTACTGAACTACAATTACATGTTGAGTAATATTTCTACTTTTTCAAGGACTATAATACTATCTTAAGATTCAGCTTTAAATGAGCAGCGTCACGACAAAACCAACATAATGGGTTTGCGACCAGCATGGATCCAGACCAGCCTGCGCATCGCACAGTCTGATCAGGATCCATGCTGTTTGCTATCATTTTCTCTACTTGTTATAGGGTTTGTAAGCGAACAGCATGGATCTTGATCAGACTGCGCGGATGCGCAGGCTGGTCTGGATCCATGCTGGACGCAAACGCATTATGTTGGTTTTGTCGTGACGCGGCTCAAATTGTTAAAACAATGGATAAAACGATTTTACGAAATATTGTTTAATCACTAATAAAACATTTTCTTAAAGTATCTTTATGACAATAAAACACATAAGTGAACATGTTTCAAAGTTAAATAAAACATCAACCTTTTATCTTGTAAATATATAGGACTTCTTTCAATAAGCATCAATTAAAGTAAGCTTGCAAAATGTAATTTGATAAGAAACTGTACAGTTCAGAAAGTTTATTTCTAAGGAATATTTCCCTGACATTCAACAGAACAGATGTGGTAGATACATTAGCATTGGCAGGGCTTCCAAGTTGCTCATTTGTAATGTAATATACAGATTGCAAAAAGGCAAAAAATAGTTAGATTGAAAAAATTTGGAAGAGTTATGTGCAAATTGTAAAGGAAGATAGAAGAGAGAGGGTTAAAGCTGTAATTTTCACTAACGCACCAAGAAAGGCAGTAAATTTGTATTACAATTCTTATATATTAGTCCCACCACGTGTATGTAAGTAAAACATTAATTATCAGAGATGCTAGATTGTTTAAAAATACTAGCGGTACCTAGTTATGTGGTCAAATTTATAAAACATATTAACAATTTACTTATTTATAGTGTGTATGTTATTGTTAGGACTTTAACCTTGCCGGTTTTGCTTTTATAAAAGTAGCATCTCTGATATGGAATTGAAAAAAATCAAAATTGTAAAAAAAATAATATAAAAACAAATCACAACCCATTTTATCATATAAACCACACAAACTTTGTTTACTTTTCCCACATTTAGTTATTTTTTTATTTACCATTGTTAATTTTCTAAGTTAAGCCAGCAATAAGTCATTGCCGTCCATTTCCAAGTCTACGTTATTTGAAGACTGGATATATAGGATCTACGAAATGAAAGATATGAGTAATGTTAGATAATACAACAAAAAACCTTATAAAAACTTCTCGTTTTTACTTTTTACATTAACTTCTGTTATCTCCAAAAATATCTATGGTTTCTTATCCTTATCAAATTAAATATATCTTACAAAACTTATCAGGTGTGTATATTTGGCCCATGTGGCTTTTTATTAATCTCTATATTACTATTTTTATTTTTTAAAGGTATTTAAATAAGTATGTTTCAATCTACAAGAAATGCATGCAAAGACCAAATATCTATACATGGAATTGCAATGCAAGAAAAACTTAAAAACCTTCAACTTGAACAATCAAAACAGAAATTTCTTTTGTTACTTAATCCTAAGTAATGAATATTACTATTTAATCATAAAATTTTCAAGTCACTCTGGGCCAAAGTAATGTTTTAAAACTGCTATAATGGCTAGACTAGTCTTGGGTAATTATTTCCCGCATAAGGCAAATATCTACTTAAGCTTTTCAAACAGAGCTTGAGACAAAATTTAGTAATGGAGTTAGTAAGAACAACATCAAGTACTCACATTATCTGGATAGCCACCTAAATTTGGATAGCCACCCATATCTGGCCCTGGCCCGTTTCCATTTTGTGGTATATCGTCTCGAGGAGTACCTGGACCATTTGCCGGAGAATTTTTCATACCATCCATATCACCTGTAGAAGTAAACCAAAGATTAATAGTTACCACCCTAAATATCTTAAATGGACTCATCCATCTCTCAATCTGGACAAAACCATTTATCATTTATAGGGAAAATTTAGAAAAATATATGAAACTGAATAGTTAACAGTGCAGATCATGATCAAACAGCATGGATGTGCCAGCTGATCTTGGTCTGCATTGAACCCATGTGTAGCCACTATTGTTGCTAGCAGGCTAAGACTTAAAGATAAGTAAAGCTGAAAATACAGTTAGCTCAATAGCGTTGGGCTGTGAATTGGACTATCCAAGTTCAATTCCCGGACAGCGTAGGTCACCTTTGTTGCAATTGCTCATGAAATCCTTTCTACAGTCATTCGCACTGTACCTCTGCACTGGCAGAAATAATCAGTTCCTTGCAAAAGTGAAAGCAGCTAGTACTGGTAAACTGCTTCACAACCTTCCCAGGATTGATGCGGTGGCTGAATTGTATACTCTCGTAAATTTATTGCGGCTTACTGTTGTGAATCAAAGTGAAAACTACAAACACTATAAAGTGTTGGGCTGAAAATACTATCAATGTTAATTTGCTATTAATCAACCTACCTTCAAGAAAATTAGGCAGATTCCTTTTATTTGAAATTTCAGGTCGAGCTATTAGAAAAGATTTTTACTAGAAAGGTAACATGAAAGTTTTCAATTTAATCAAATTCAACAATTTAATTTTATGATAAGCAAACTACTATTTATTCAACTGGAGTATACTTTATGTGTTATTTTTTCTTACAACATGTCTGCTAAGATTTCAGTAAATAGTGTAAGTTACCTAACCATTTGGTAAGATTTTGATGAATTACTCTTCTGATGCCAAACATGATTTATCAAACAAAATATAAATACATCAGTTCATTTAAACATAAATATCTGTAAAAAAAAAATATAATCATGCTTTGTAATACATTCTCTAAGCCTATGAAGTTTAATATAGATCACTGAACCTATAATGTAATGACATGATAATGTAAAAGAGAAACAAGATATCATCATACCATTCATTACTGGAGGCATACCATCTGGCCCCATGCCCATTCCACCTTCACCACCCCCTGGACCCATACCCGGAAACTGAAAAATACATGAATAAAAATAAATATTTACCATTTCACTCTTTATTTATATACAAACATCTTGTCAGTTATAGACATTTCAAGAAATTACATTTCAGTTCTATCCACTTGACAATTTGTCAAAACATGATAATCATTTCATGTGAGAAAACATCAAGCATACTATTGTTTGTAAAATAAACAAAAGAAATTCTATGTCAGCTTGTCAATGACCTGAGCAAATATACAAAATTCAAATCTGCTTATCACCCCATATGAGAGTGGTGTAAGGAAACTTACCCCAGGTGGCATCCCAGGTATTGAGCCCTGGCCTGGTTTCATCATACCATACATTCCATCACCTGAGCTTGTTGAATCTGAAATATTGTAACAAATAACATAAATCTTGTCAAGAATTACTGCAAAAAGCTATCCTGTAAATATACCAGTGTTATTTTAAATTTTTTAAATAGTTTGGAATAATGACTGGACTATACCACCAGTGTCGAGCCCCGCCATGGTAAACATCTGTGCAGGCTGATCATGCTCTATACTGAAAGCTGTTTAAATTTAGCGGTTTAACAACAAAACCCCTTGAATGACAAATGGAGAGTTCTGAATTTAAAGAAGGGCTGGTACATTACAAAATATTAGCAGGTCTCATGTATAAAAGTTAGCATTTATTCTTCAGTAGTTTGTTCCGAATTTTACCAAATATTCTGTTTTGCTAAGTCATTAAAATAATGTTACTTATTGTGTAAAATTATAAGAGTAGAACAAGCAAAATTGTGCTTTTCTTCACTGTTCAAATGTATCCCACAATAGCTTTAGCACTGTGTTGGTGGCTACAGTGGGGATATTTATCATTTCATCATATGTTAATTGTAATGATTGTAAAAGTTTTAAAATGCCTTCATCTTATCTTAAATTTAAAGAAAAAAGTTTAATTTCAACTTTTAAAGGCACATCAAACCTTAAAAAAGTATTTATCTTTCTGAAGTGAAATTCATGAATTAAGAATTCTTTAAGTGCTTTTCACCTGAAATAAATAGCTTCAAATGTAAACTGAAGTGGTAATTTGACTTCCATACAAAATACTAAATCCTTATAACTGTACATATTGCAAAATATGCAAATGAAGCAAAGGATGAGTAACATATTGAAAAGTGTAACACGACATCAAAAATAAAAACTTTTGAATAATGGAAATGTTACCATTTTTTTTAGACTTCATAGCATTTAAAAATCTCCAAGCTTTTGAAGCAAATGTAAGGGAAGCAACTCTACTTATCTTGATTCAAAGCAGCTCAAATGATACAAGTTGCACTTTAAATTCTTTAATTAATGTTTTTATTAATAGTAAAAATACAACTCATACACTATAGTTTAGGGAGCATCAGATGGTTCTCAAGTTTAATGCGTGCAAATAGAAATGTTTATAAACAGCATTATCAATTATATCCATTATTATCGAATTACAGTGACTGAAATAATTACAACACAGCCAATGTATAAATCATTATAAGATTTTCAAAATGTAATATATCTGTCAAAATAATTATATTTTACACAAATTTTGAACTCTGTATTTTTTCTGTGTTTATACTTTGACTGCACAAATCAGTTACAAAGAATAATCCATCAGATTACCTCCCTTACGATAAACATTTAAAAATCAAAACACAATACACACGATTACATCCCTTTACAAGGGCTGTAAAAAAACAAAAAACAAAAACACACTAAACATCTAGCTACATGGACAACATTGAGAGAAACAAGCAATAAAAAGTTTGAAGCTTACATGTACCTTGAGGACTAGGCATAATAGGGGTACCTGGGGGACCCTGGGCAATCTGAAAATATATAAAACATTCCAAATAAACTGGGCAATCTGAAAATATATAAACAATTCAAATTAACTGTTTCACTAAGGAATTTCCAAACTTGGTCACCCTCTAACCATAAAGTTAGCCAAAGTTGTTAGTATCCTATTTAACATTGTGTTGCATCAAAATTTATAAGTTATTTAAATATGTATATGCTTGCAGAATCAAGTGGTCTATAAATGATCTGTTACTGGTTTATTTATGTGATTTCCCTGGATGTATCAGTTATTAATCGAGAAAACAAATGCTTGGAATACATTGCCCTACTTCTGACGTAGAAAGCTTGATAAGAGTATTACAGCTTTTTAACATTTACATGACATTAGAAAAATAATTTAAACAGATTTACTAAGAAAATATCTCAACATCAATTAATTTCTTTTTAAAAGAAAAAAAAACTATGTTTGTATTCATTTTTTAATTTGGTAACAGCTTTTTTATAACCAATGTAAGTTTGCAAAAAACCTTGATTCATAATATTGATTTTATACAATTTTTACAGTTGATTTTTTTTTATTGGAAGCACATGTTGAATACATAATTTAACACACACCAATGATAGTAGATAATTCTCATGTTTTGTCATCGTGTGAAGGGGCTGATACATATCATTCATTTATCTTTATAATACTGCACATTTTGTTAACAACACAAATTTTTAAAATTATATCTAAATTCTAATTTGCAGTAATTTTGTTTTCAATTCAAACCTAATTCTTAGATGGCAAGTACAAAATTATGACTTCTGTCATAGATTTTTAACAGATTTATGGTTGAATATAAATGGTTGTTTGCCATATAACCTTACATAAGCCTACAATCAATTATGCTGGGCCGAATAAGCTGCAAAAAATCTTATATAACCAATATGAAAATTTAGAGAAGTTTAATACTGTAACCTCTCAAAATATTTCATATAGCAGAACAAACATAAAATTTCAAATCTATCAAAAAAACTGTACATGTAGACTGTTTTTGTCTTCTTTTTCTCTTCATTTTAGAACAGCTTTCCATGAAACACTGATTTTGATCTGGATATTTACCATCCCCTTATTAAAACCACTACAACTACTAATAATTACATGTTCAAATTTCATAGCAAGACATGTCCATTACTGTAGACTTAAGATTAATTCATGATTTATTCAGGGTTTTTATTATTAATAGATTGGCTATCCATATAATCTGCTGAAATCATTGGTTGAAATGCTGTTAAAATTGGTTGTATTTTCAGCATGTAGATTAAAATAACCCCCTTGACCAAATTGGTTGTTTTGTTGGCACATCTGTTAGCTTTGATAAAAATATTTGTTTCATTTTACGCCTTTTCCCAACAGTATTTCAGTCATATAGGCGGGTAGTTTCCTAACCATCTTTCCTGGAGAGTTACACCAGTACTAGACTACCTTCCTCCGTGCTAACTACCAAAGCATCTCCCGGGGATCGAACCCACGCCAGAGAGGTGACTGGAGTAGAAGTCATCGACTCTAACCCTTCAACCACGGAGGCGGTTGATAAAAATGAAAACCCTGTTATTGTATAAAAGTAAGATAATAAAGTAACTTACTGATGATGATGAGGATGATGAGGGTGGCCATCTACTTCCTCCCCCAGGTCTGTAAATAATAAAACAATATTATATATATAGATATAACATGACAATCTCAACGTCTATCAGGATAAAGTAAGTCTTGTAAGTAAAGATGCAAAAAGACAAACTTGCAAGTATTGGTATATGGTATGTTATGGTAACTGTTCAGTTACAGGGCATTTTTTTTCCAGAAAAATACAGTCCAAATCTCCTATAACATTCTGTGGGCTAAAGACACCACTGATACATATTTTCTACCACTAGCACCATGTAAGTCAGCATATTCTAAACAGTCAAGATGTACATGATACATATAGATTTGAAAAGCAATAAAACTATTCACTATACGTTTAGTAATCTTGAAACTTACTCCTTTTTCATTCAGAAAATGTTTATATATCAGATTAGATGCCAAAATTTTTAAAAACTATAACTGCAAAAGCACATAGCAATCGTAATACAAATGAAGATTTGATATGGGATCTGACAAAAGAAATTTCTAACCATAATTGGGAATCACATAGAATTACCCATTCCCTACAGCCCAGTTACATTAAGATCCAATTAAGACAAGTGAATTATAATTCAATTATCATATTTCCATGATGAAAAAATAATTTATTAGGAAATATATCTTGGTTTAGTGTGGCTGGATATACCACAGTGCAATGTGGTTACACGGGGCAGTTATAAATTCACAAAGGCCATATGATGAATGGTTATAATCAACTGAACCATCTATCTTGCAATATTATAAAACAAAAGAGACTTGAAATCATTATTTATATCGGTTCAAACAAATAAATGCAATATCAGGGAAAGAAAACAGTGTTGGACTATAGACGAAACACTGACCATAAATTTACCATTTTCTTAAATATTTTGAGAATATAACAATTTTGAAAATGTGGATTTACATTCAGTTTATAAAACTATTTGTTGAAAGTATAAATTATATGGGGGAAATCTCAATATCACTGAAGAAAACTGTGCATCGTAACATAACTTCATATTTTACAGGGAAGAAATGGCAAAGGGTACTGTAGCCTGTAGGCTTCTGTTTTTTTTCCCCTCACATAGCAAAATCTCTGGTTGTGTTAAAAACCTAAACTGGTATTTTAAACTATTAAATAATAATAATATATCATAAATTCTTTTTTTTTAACTAAAAAAAACTTACAATGACATAGGAGGCATTCCACCAGGTCCGGGACCACCAGGGCTCATACTGTTAGGTGGTGGACCTCGAATACCTGCTGGCCCATAACTTGGTCCCATAGAATCATATACCTGAAACATAAAAATGTCATTTTATTCTTTTGTATAACATATGATTTCCTTATTCTTCTTAAATATTACCTAATCTTATAAACTCATATTTTCTGCATTTTTACTTTATTAAATACCCATAGAATAAAATTAATATTGGCCTTTCTCTATTTAATCTTTATCTCACATACAATATACATGTACCTAAAAATTATATCATTCTTTACCATAATGGTAATGAAAGTTTTGCTATATTACTCATTGTCCGTCTAAACTAGGTATATGACATACTTTTCCTGCTTTAAAATACTAGTAAATAATCATCATCAAACTGCTCATAAATGTTAGCCCTTTACCTGCTAGAACTGAAAATGATCAGGTTTTATCACCAGTATAGAACCAGGCAAGTTAAAGTTCACAAACAAATACATTAAAATGATATGTTGCAATGTTGGGTTATTTCTTTGATCTTTTTTAACCAAACAATGCCATTATTAAGCCAAGAATTACAGTTTATACAAAATGAACCTCATAATGTCAAGTTGGACACCAAACCCTTACCAACATAATGTCTCTACACTAAGAGTGTACAGACAGAAAGATGTACAACCACAAATCTATATCTCTCTTGGCTTTAACAGGGATAATACAAAAATAACAGTAGGAAAGCATGTAATAATTTGACAAGTGTTGATACATACAGCTGGATTTATCGGACTAACTGGATTCATAGGACCGGACATTCTACTTCCTGGATGACTCATTCTCTGCATAGGACCCATTCCAGGATGACCTAAATATAAAACAAAACTATGTGATTATACTAGTATATAGCTTAAATAAAATATTCAAAATATGATTAATTACATTGTTTTCCTGTGTCCGTGTATGTGTTGTGGTATTTAATGTGTGTGTTGTGGTGTTCAATGTGAGTTGTGTTGTTCTTGTTTGATGTTTGTTTGATTTTACGCCTTTTCCTAACAGTATTTCAATCATATAGGCGGGTAGTTTCCTAACCATTGTTCCTGGAGAGTTACACCAGTACTAGACTACCTTCCTCCGTGCTAAACTACCAAAGCATCTCCCCGGGATCAAACCCATGCCAGAGAGGTAACTGGTTAGAAGTCATTGACTCTAACCCCTCAACCATGATGTTGTTCAATATGTGTGTTGTGGTGTTCAACATGTGTGTTGTGGTGTTTAATGAGTGTTGTGTTGTTCAATGTGTGTTGTGATGTTTAATATGTGTGTTATGGTGTTAAATGTGTGTGTTGTGGTGTATGTATTGTGGTGTTACAGGATGCAAGTCTCCCACTCTGTGTTAAATACATATATGCAAGGTATATTTTCATAGAATATGGACTGTTTTGTCTTTTTTATTTAATACAAATTTAACTCATTCATAAATATACTTCTTCTCTAAGACAGCAATTAAACCAATTAACAAAATAAAATTTTTAACAAGTTTAATTGCCAGGATTTTCACTGTGTTGTTGACAACAAATATTTCTTACATGTTATCTAACATGTAATCTTCATGTAAACAAACAATGATCTGACATGAGCAATATGCTATCTTGTTTTTGTACCATATGTTACTGGTGAATATATGAAATTCATACCTGTTTCAATTGTTGCAAACATTTAAAGAAAATGATTCGTTCAATAAACATTGATTTCTACACATTATTATATTGTTGAAAAGCTGCTGTTTTATAAAGATTTATTCCTTGAGTCTAGACTCATTAAACAAGATATGTTTGTAAAACATGTATGCCCCCTATCAGCAGCAAATTAGTCATGTGAAAAGGTTATTATGCATGACTTCTGACCCAGTGATAAAACAATTAATAAGGGTTATCAAGTATCTACTGGTCATGACCTTAACCTTTGACCCCTTGACCCAAAACTCAATAGGGGTCATCTGCTGGTCACGACCAATCATCATACAAAGTTTGAAGTTCCTAGGCCTAAGCGTTTTTAGTTAATTGATCAGAAATCGTTTTAACATACAAGGTCAATGTGACCTTGACCTTTGACCCCTTGACCCCAAAATCAATTGGTCATGACCAATCACCATACCATGTTTGAAGTTCCTAGGCCAAAGGGTTCTTAAGTTATTGATTTGAAAGCATTTTTACCTACAAGGTCAATGTGACCTTGCCCTTTGACCCCTTACCCCCAATATCAATAGGGGTTATTTACTGGTCATGACCAATCACAATACCAAGTTTGAAGTTCCTAGGCCTAAGGGTTCTTTAGTTTTTGATCGGAAACCGTTTTTACCTACAAAGTCAATGTGACTTTGACCTTTGACCCCTTAACCCCAAAATCAATAGGGGTCATCTGCTGGTCATGACCAATCACCATACCAAGCTGAAGTTCCTAGGCCTAAGGGTTCTTTCAATATTGATCGGAAATCGTTTTTACCTACAAGGTCAATGTGACCTTGACCTTTGACCCCTTAACCCCAAAATCAATAGGGGTCATCTGCTGGTCATGACCAATCACCATACCAAGTTTGAAGTTCCTAGGCCTAAGGGTTCTTTTGTTAATGATCAGAAACCGTTTTTACCCAAGAGGTCAATGTGACCTTGACCTTTGACCCCTTGACCCCAAAATCAATAGGGGTCATCTACTGATCATGACCAATCACCATACCAAGTTTGAAGTTCCTAGGCCTTAAAGTTCTTTAGTTATTGATTGGAAACCATTTTTGCTTACAAGGTCAATGTGACCTTGACCTTTGACCCCTTGACCCCAAAATCAATAGAGATCATCTACTGATCATGACCAATCACCATACCAAGTTTGAAGTTCCTAGGCCTTAACGTTCTTTAGTTATTGATCGGAAACAGTTTTTGCTTACAAGGTCAATGTGACCTTGACCTTTGAACCCAAAATCAATAGGGGTCATCTACTGGTCATGACCAATCACCATACCAAGTTTGAAGTTCCTAGGCCTAAGGGTTCTTTCGTTATTGATCGGAAATCGTTTTTACCTACAAGGTCAATGTGACCTTGACCTTTGACCCCTTAACCCCAAAATCATTAGGGGTCATCTGCTGGTCATGACCAATCACCATACCAAGTTTGAAGTTCCTAGGCCTAAGGGTTCTTTTGTTAATGATCAGAAACCGTTTTTACCCAAGAGGTCAATGTGACCTTGACCTTTGACCCCTTGACCCCAAAATCAATAGGGGTCATCTACTGATCATGACCAATCACCATACCAAGTTTGAAGTTCCTAGGCCTTAAAGTTCTTTAGTTATTGATCAGAAACCGTTATTGCTTACAAGGTCAATGTGACATTGACCTTTGACCCCTTGACCCCAAAATCAATAGGGTCATCTACTGATCATGACCAATCACCATACCAACTTTGAAGTTCCTAGGCCTTAAAGTTCTTTAGTTATTGATTGGAAACCGTTTTTGCTTACAAGGTCAATGTGACCTTGACCTTTGACCCCTTGACCCCAAAATCAATAGAGATCATCTACTGATCATGACCAATCACCATACCAAGTTTGAAGTTCCTAGGCCTTAAGGTTCTTTAGTTATTGATCGGAAACAGTTTTTGCTTACAAGGTCAATGTGACCTTGACCTTTGACCCCAAAATCAATAGGGGTCATCTACTGGTCATGACCAATCACCATACCAAGTTTGAAGTTCCTAGGCCTAAGGGTTCTTTCGTTATTGATCGGAAATCGTTTTTACCTACAAGGTCAATGTGACCTTGACCTTTGACCCTTAACCCCAAAATCATTAGGGTCATCTGCTGGTCATGACCAATCACCATACCAAGTTTGAAGTTCCTAGGCCAAAGGGTTCTTTTGTTAATGATCAGAACCGTTTTTTACCCAAGAGGTCAATGTGACCTTGACCTTTGACCCTTGACCCCAAAATCAATTGGGGTCATCTACTGATCATGACCAATCACCATACCAAGTTTGAAGTTCCTAGGCCTTAAAGTTCTTTAGTTATTGATCAGAAAACCGTTATTGCTTACAAGGTAAATGTGACCTTGACCTTTAACCCCTTGACCCCAAAATCAATAGGGGTCATCTACTGATCATGACCAATCACCATACCAAGTTTGAAGTTCCTAGGCCTTAAAGTTCTTTAGTTATTGATTGGAAACCGTTTTTGCTTACAAGGTCAATGTGACCTTGACCTTTGACCCATTGACCCTAAAATCAATAGGGATCATCTACTGATCATGACCAATCACCATACCAAGTTTGAAGTTCCTAGGCCTTAATGTTCTTTAGTTATTGATCGGAAACCGTTTTTTGCTTACAAGGTCAATGTGACCTTGACCTTTCACCCTTTGACCCAAAATCAATAGGGGTCATCTACTGGTCATGACCAATAACCATACCAAGTTTGAAGTTCCTAGGCCTTAAGGTTCTTTAGTTATTGATCGGAAACCGTTTTTGCTTACAAGGTCAATGTGACCTTGACCTTTGACCCCTTGACCCCAAAATCAATAGGGGTCATCTACTGGTCATGACCAATCACCATACCAAGTTTGAAGTTCCTAGGCCTAAGGGTTCTTAAGTTATCACTCGGAAACCATTTGGTCTACGGACCGACGGACCGACAAGTGCAAAGCAATATACCCCCTTTTCTTCGAAATGGGGGCATAACAATCAAAGTTCCATATTTTCTAGATATACATGTATACATATATACATGCCATATATCAATTGTTGTTGAGAACCCAGTTTTTATACTAAAATAATCATATTAATTCAGTGTTAATTTAAAGCTGTATGTGAAAGATGCACATTTATAAAACCCTTGTTTATATGAATATTATGATGTACCTATGCATGTTTATTTAGAAAAATAATACTTTGGTGACTGTATTAATTACAAATAGTCTTAATTCAACTAACAATAATTGACATTCAACCAATGCAAGTTCAAAATAAAGAGTTAAACACGTAAACACCAGGGCAAGTTTACAATATTTTTTGGTGTCTACTAGTTTTGGTCACTTTATAACTTTCATTCAGGATTAACTAATTATTCAATATTACATAAGAAAACTTCTTTACAAACCATATTCAGTTAGTTAGGGGGGAATAAAGGCATACCTGGTCTGGGTTCCATACTATTAGGCATAGGCATCTGACCAGCAGCACTGCCTGGGGGACCCTGAATATCAGAAAAAAACAACAATATTTTAATAAATTAAATAACTCCTGAAACTCTATTGTTGGTTTTATCAGTAAACTCTTGCCACAGTTTGTTCATGTCACTCATATGTGATGTAGACTCTGTACTACTCACCAGTTGCATTGTAATCTCAGAAATTAAACCACAAATTACCAGCCAGACATTGTCATCAATATTACAATATTCTTATAGAACACACAGGCATTAATAAATTACATTAAAAAGTCTAATATCTTAAGATTGTTCCTATTTTTGTTCTTCCTTATGCTATTATAACTGAATCTTTGACCTAGATATGACTAGGTCAAATCAGACAGACATCAGAATGTTTACAGTCACACTGTATCTGTTATAAGACAATTCTATTTTTGTACCAAAGATTATCATTGTCTGCATGAAATCAAATCATATACTAGTACACAAATGAGAACTAGAATATAACTGACCATGAATTTGACCTAGAGAAAATAGCCAGATATGAAAATCAGAAATATGATAGAGTCACCAATCTTTTACTAATAGTTTGTGCACTAGTAGGCAAATAGCAGTTACAGGCTTTACATTATCAATATTAAGCCAGGCGTGTTGGCTGCACATTTATAATATTTTGGTGCAGAAATTTCTTAGATTAACACAAGATATATCCAAATACTAAATTCATCACTAGTATGAATACTAAGTTTATTACAAATACTAAGTCCATTACTAAGACCAAGTTCATTACATATTCAACATCTCCATAAGACATCACAAACTAAAAACAAACAAATATATACTCACATTGAACTGATCTGGAGGCATACGTATCCCCGGCCCTCGTGGTCCTCCTGGGTAACGCGGAGACATAAATGGCTGCAATACAAAACACATTACAATTTGAATATTATAGAAATAAAGATGGCCAAAAAGCTACATAGTACTTTGAAAATGTATGCTTGTTTAAGGTTATCTTTAAAACAGTTATGTTTGACTGTCCTTGATAGACAAGAGTATCATAATAGTCAGAAATTTCTCATCAAAGATTTTTGAAATTTTTAAGAATGTAACATACCAAATTACTTAGTTCTTCATTTTATATGACTTTTAACCCTTACCACACTAATTATCTTAAATGAACTTGTTCATCTTTAATCTGGACAAAGCATTTCCAATTTTGTGAAAACATTCAAGAAATGAGCCATGTCACGACAAAACCATCATAGTGCGTTTGCGGCCAGCATGGATCCAGACCAGCCTGCGCATCCGCGCAATCTGATCAGGATCCATGCTGTTTGCTATCAGTTTCTCTACTTGTTATAGGGTCTGTAAGCGAACAGCATGGATCCTGTTCAGACTGCGCAGATGCGCAGGCTGGTCAGGATCCATGCTGGTCGCAAACCCATTATGTTGGTTTTGTCTTGACGCAGCTCAAATGTATTGTTTGAATAGCGAAGTGTTGACCAAGATTCGACAGCATGAATCTGCCTAATCTTTGTCTGCACTGGTTGCATGTTTTTTTTTTCAGTCTTGGATCAAGATATTTTTTTAAATGACAATCAACTTTACTTTTCAACAACATGTAATTAAAAGCAACGATTATCTGAAATTGAGTGGGAATAAACCCATACAAAAACAAAATAATTAATCATGTTTTCAAATAAGTGTGCAAAGTTTTATAATAAATACGCAATTTCTTCATAATTATGTTATCATTTTCAAATTTTTTTCTAAAGTTGGTACCATATTTTAACATCCATATAAATGAAACAAATAAAAACCAAGTAGCAACAGATGCAATATTGAAAAACTTAATATACCAGTACAAATGAACTCGAAATTCTACTGTCAAACCATCAATATTATTACATCAAACAAGTTCATTGCATGTATCAGAAAAATGTACTTTAAAAGTTAATACAGAAAGAAATTAACTTAAGAAATTAACTTAAGTTAAATTAATGCAGGTGAATAAAATAAATCGTAATGTGGTAAACATCTAACATTCTAATGAATGTTTACATTAGATGTTTTGATAACAGCCTGGATAATGTAGAATTATCTACGTTCAAAAAGGGACCATAATTTTTAAAAATCTATGGTTGAGTTATGGGCCTGGATAGTGACCTCCTATTATGCTCTCAAATAAGTGTGCGAAGTTTCAACCCATTTCCTTCAGTAGTTATGTAGAAACAAGTTTGCATGCAAAAACTTTATCCAAGATTTCCAAGTAGACAATTTTTATGTTCTATTAAAGTAAATAAATATCCAAAACTTGAGTTTACGTGGTCAGCATTTTCGATTTTTAGAATACTGCAGTAAAATAATGGATTTTAATACAATCTAAAATTTTCAAAAACACTAATTTTTCATGGTCAAAAACACAATTTTTCATGGCGCATGAGTGTTTACTTAAAAATTACACTACCCTCATGACTTAAACAGTAACTGATGGTCTATATATTAACCTTGACATGATACTTACAGGAAAGAAACCTGGTGGCATCCCTGGACCTCCTGGCATGCCGTCTTGATTGGGCATCTGACCTATAGGACTAGGGGCAGCTGGATTCTGTAATGAAAATCATATTACACTTCAATAACTTATAACTTATACCAGTCTTAAAGTATCCAGAACTTTCCCAAACTGGCCCAATTTTACTCACCAAATAAACATTCTAACCTGAACTTACATCATATATCTTACAGACTTAATGAATAAATAAATTCATTTCATCAAGTTATTTCAAGAACTCCTTGCTTTTATATACAATTTTTTTTTTTTTTTTAAACTTCAGATTTTGTGAAAGACAAGTCCTGTGATTTTCCCCAAGCAGAAACTTATTTTCTTTACTCTTTTGTGAATATTTACTTTTCAAAAAAGTTAGATTTAACAATAATAACAGAATTTACGCTTGATCATAAATTCATTTCTAAAAATGAACTTTTTGAATGTGTACAAAATCAATATTAAACTATAGTAAATAGAAACAGAAAATAGCAAACTGTTAACCTGGCAAATAAATGCAAAATAAAGGGAAGCATATATCAAGACCAAAAAAAGACCAGGAACCTAGCTATATAAAACACCATGGACCCAGATTGTAGAGGGGTAACTTAAAGAGAGATGCAACAGAAAAAAGTCAGCGGATTTCAAACAAAAGCCTACTGAAGAACTGATAGCTGAAAAGCAAACTGTTTACCAAGAGCTGAATGACTAATGTGGAACGGGTGATTAAATGTGGGTAAGAAAACCAAACAGTTTACTTACATGCGCCATGCCGTTAAGACCATACCCTGAATTAACAAAACCCTGAAATAGTCCAAGACAAAAAATTTGGTGAGCCTGTGAATTATTGTTACGGAATGACTGATAATGAGATGACTAGATGACGTGATTTAACAACATGTAACATATAGTGGAGTTACATAGGGTATGATTTGGACCAAAATAGTGACCAGAGTGCTTGGGGGTGGGGAGTGGGGGTCGAGTATAGTGACCATAGTGCTTCAAGGGTGGGGGAGGGAATTGTGTACAGTGACCAAGAATATTGGAGAAAATGATATATATAGTGACCCGTATACTTGGGGAACATGGTGAATAGTGACCAGGGTACTCGAGGAAATGGCAAATGGCATGTAGTGGCCAGTATCATTGAGAAAAGTGTTATAAAGTGACCAATACTCTTTTGGGCAAAAATAATGGCATCAAATAAAGCCAAACAAATTCCTTCCTTTAAAATCTTAGTTCCAAGTAAAGTAACAACTATATCAACTTTTATCAGGTATGTTATAACAGGGTTGGAAATCAAACCTTTGACCTATTGTCCAAACAAAATGGCACACTATCAAAATTCTACCTGGTTAAGGTTATTTTAACCTTATATCAATTATAAACTCAAGCAGACTAGACACACCTCTGCTGTGCACTGTCACTTGGGAAAGTGTACATGACGAGTCTAAGATAATTCAGTTATAGATTTATTTATTTATTTATTCATATCTTGCATAAATAAAGAGCCAGGTAACTGTATAAATATTAATGAAAATATGCATGGTGATGTATATTAGTAAAATAGTATCTTTTATCTTGCGCAAACACAGAATAAGTTCTTGTTTTATAATCTAACTATAGTTGTTTTTCTTTTTTCTTTTCTGTCACATTTAAAATTGAGGAACCAATGGCTATATACTAGTAATGATGTTTAGCTAAATAATTATCTGTCAACATTAACATGACTCTTAAGGGGAATCTATTTTATGTTCACATGACAGGATGATCTTTAAAAGTAATAACAAGTACACTGACACCCCATTATAATGAGCAAGTTGGGGACCTAGGTCTTAAACCGCATTATATAAATAAAGTTCTGAAATATATAAAGTTATAACACTCATCTTCAGACAAGTAAAATTACCTCACCCACATATCTATACATGTAACTACATACTGTATCATTTTGTTCAATAAATTAACACCATTTGAATTAACAAGTTGTTTCTAAATCACTAAAACAATAGAAATAAATACTATTCTGTAAAATATTACTGGTTATGTTCTGTAAAATATTACTGGTTATGTATATAATATTGTAAATGATAAAAATCGTGAAAGAAACAGAAAAAATCTATAACAGTTTCCACAAATTGTTCTAAAAGCATTATAACATATAATTGTGAAAATTAATCAGGTACTGCACAACCTAATTTAATCATCATTCCTAGTATATTTACAAGAGAAATCTGTAATTTAAACAAGATTTTGGTTTGTGTTAGATTCTAACTTCAAAGGTGATTTCGTGTCACACCTTTGAATTTAAAGAAGCTTCACTGAGGTAAAAAAAGCCTAAAAAAACCCAAATTTTACATGATCAACTTGGGAAAATTCTGGAACAGCAGATTAAGTGAGGGTAAGTTTTTACATTGTTTTTATGGTTAGTGTTATAACAGGGTGGCTCTCAGTGTATTATTTTCTATTTTTCACTGATGATAATATAAATGATATCAAATGAAAACAGTGAGTAGATTGAACAGAAATATTTAATGGAAAAGTTTAGGAATAGAACAGACTTTGATCTTGGAGGTATCTACTGAGTAACTGACCAGAGCAATTTAGTAACTTCTTACATGTAGTAAATGGACAAAATGACATAGATCAGTGTTCAGGGGATATATATTCAATGTGATTTAGCTAAATGAGGTGTCAAGTGAGTATACTGGCAAACCTTATTAGGTTAAAATTTTACCAAGCACCTAGTATAAATGGATATATAGTAGATAAATCCTACAGACAAATTGAACACTTGAAAAATTGGGATTAAGTAAAAGTTGAGACAATTGTTCATAGCACTATTAAAGTTGATGGAAAAAAAGTATTCAAAATTATCTTTCTTTTCAAAAATTTGGGTCAACAAATCAACCATCAACCATGCTAAATTAAAGATTTATGACTAAGTTTTAAGGGATTATTTTTTAAATCTGATCTTTTTTTATACAAAAAATGGTTAATTTTAAGGTATCTCATATAAGTCATCTATGATTCATTAGAATTCAGTTATACAAAGAATCTGTGACAAACTATGATTTAAGGAGTCATTTTTTGTTAAGAACAGAAAACTTGGCATATTAAATTTGCCACACATAATATGTAAGTAACTAAAAAAATATCAAAACTCAAAACTATATTTAAGTATATGAAAAAATAATTATAACTGTAAGAAAAGAAAATACAGAACATATAGACAGAAGTGACGAAAGAATTTTCTAAAGTTTGGACCAAACAAAATATTGAATAATTCTGATACAGAAGTCTTTAATGATCATTATGTAAAAGAGCAAAAACAAAATGTTGCAAAAGTTGAAAAGAAAATGTTCTGTTTCAAACAAAATATAACAATCAGTATGTGGTTAGAAGTTTTGGTATCACATATTAGCAAGTGAATGTGTCTCAGAGAACAACTTTGATGATTCATGAAAAGCATGATACACTTGTAATGAATTGTAATTAAAATAATTAGAGGGTCATCATGGCAGGATCACCCCCCCCCCCCCCAAATTGTCATGATGGCCCAAAATCGCTTATCAGAATAAATAATGCACTCCATGCGTCCTAGACTTTTTAGTCCTAGCATAATAGGACTTTTTACAGTAGAATTTTATATCTAAAATACAATGTATGGGCTAACACGAAAACAACAGGTTATGTATGCTTCATGTATTTCTCGCCAATAGTTCCGAAGGAGAATATTTGAACAATTTGCTCATGCCAGTCACTGCAGTATCCATCTTTCCTACAAGCTCAAACTGAACCTTTAGTTCAGGTGAGATAAGTTCATTACAAGAGTATACCACTTGTTAATATAGTACATTCTTCATTTGAATGATCAATCTCTTTCCACTTCATGTTCTACAAAACTTTTCTCTACACACAATATAGAGAATATACTTACAAACCTTTTCTCATTCATGGTCTAATGCATTTACAATGCTTTTATTTTGTAGGAATTAATTCTTAATTGTAAGATACCTTTATTTCAAATATATTCAACTAATCTTAATTACTGAACTTTACAGAAGTCTAACTTAACAATTGACAAACTTCAATGAAATAAAACTGCAAGAAATTTTGTCTTTTTTTCCCTAGTTTACTAGTATGCAGCTGGTTACCATGACAACGAATGAAAAATCACTCACAAGAAAAGGTAAAAGTTGTAAATCCCGGAGATGTAATTGCAGTGCCTTGTTTCACTCAATTTTAAAAATTGTAGTCTCTATTTTTCTGCCATATGATTATTCAATTCCAAATAATCTATTAAATATGAATTTTTCAACAGATCAATTTTCATCATTTCAAGTTTCCTCTTGTTTGATATGGTTCTTTAGGTAACAAGCAGAAAGTTGAATACTGATCCTATTCAAATTGAATTACATTTAAAAATTTGTATATAAAAACAAATACTTACATAATCATGAAATGCTTTGGCCTCACTTGAATGGTCGCATGTGTCCCTTCTCTCAGGAGCCGCACAATAGAGATCCCAAAACACACTGCAGATATAACATATTAAATATTGGCAATGTTGTCCCTGACATTTCAGAATTTCTATATTACTTAATTTAGGGTCTTTCAAAAGAAAAATAGATTTTTACCTTGATAACAATGACCAGGAATGAAAAATTCCTAATTTCATCGCAATTCTATAAAATTGTTATTTTTTTAAGTAAAAACTAATAATGTAATGTAGCCTGGATTAGTATTCAGTATTTTTTTGATTGATTTAACAAAACCTTATCATATAAATCGATTTTTGAACAGTATGTACTAATTTGCCAGATCACGGTTGGTAGATAACATAATCACGTGATTCAGCAAGGTCATCTTTTTTTGTAAAATTTTTACAACAAATTTTTTTAAACTCCAGACCATCCTATTTGAAAGACCCTGCTTAAGTTATGATACATGGTACCTTAAATAAAAGCACTTTGTGGCGCCTTTTTAAACTTGCTTGTTTACCTTGATGATGACCAACAGATGCTGCCAGTATACAGACAGACTTGCTGTACAACAAGGCTTTTATAACTACAGTTGCTCTACTTTCTTAAATTTTTAATTGCCTTAAATTTACAGTAGTTACATTTGATGTTTTTCTCTCAGACACATCTTAGGATAATAACATGAATTCTATATTTCATGATAATAATGACTATAATATCAACATTTGGTATTTTTCAAATAAAACAATACTAACAGTCAACTGACTATTAAAAATTACTATAGAGATCACATAATATTTAATCAAATATTTTCTAAATTTACGCAGTCAATGTATTTGCAGATTTATCTAAAATGCAGGATGTTAATATACACACAGAATTGTTTTTTTCTGTATATCAGTGTAAATTGATAACCTCAATAAATCTAGTCACTCTAGAATATTTTGGAATCATCTAAATAATTCATGACAGAAAAAACATTTGGTTATAACCCTTTCCTGTTAGCAGTATCACAGAGACCACCAAGATCAACAGGTACATTCATGCTGCCTAATCTGTTGGTCTGGCACAGTTCTCTTTTCAGTCATGTCTTTGAACTTTTAAAAAAAATCCCAAAAATGATGAATGGTCTAGTCCAAATTGGTAGATTGGCAAGTCCATTATGATAATTAGTGTCATAAGGGATCAGATGCTCACCCCAAACTAGCAATGAACTAGATCTAAGATTTTTACCATCTATTTTGTTCTTTAAGAACTTTGCCTGCACTAGCAGTCATTATCTTTAGTACTTGAAAGGGCCATATTACAGACAAATTGTAGAGTATGGTACTGTTTATAGAAAATCATGACTAGTCTACATTTAATATGACACTCGAGAAGTTGGGGTTTTTTTTTAAGATAATAAAATCATTTCAAAAACTAAGTCTTATATTATACAACATTAACGCTTAAAATGAGTTATGAACAAGTAAAACATCCAGAGATTATAAAATATATTAAGCTTAATTCTCATCTCATGTTATACCAGTACATATATTGAACATTTATATTGTTTAGAATTGCATTATAAGTTTGATTTACTAGATGACAGCAAGCAGGAATATATAACATATGCTCTATATGGTGAAAATTGATTCCTGGTCACATGACTGTAAATTCACATGTTTCTTACCACCAGATTTTTTTTTATATCATATTTTCAGATAACTGATAAACATCTGACATCAAGTTGTTACAGGAGAAATGGGGCAAATTTGATAAAACATCACATCTTCAATAACATGCATTTGTCAAGTAAACTGAAAATGTGCTTATAATATCTGCCAGTATATCTATAATTAAAATATATTGTAACAGTTTTACTAAATAATTAGAAACTAGCAAATTAATTTTATGTCTGGTTTATTAATATCTGTTTTACAAAATTGTAAGTAACTACTGTGTAATTACATGACAGCTCACTTAGCTCAACAAGGACCATTAATTAATAATGCAGGGATTGCAAGTTTGATCCTTGGGCGAGGTAATTGACAAAACTGATCTTGGACATTAAGCCTTACGGCCATTTTGTCTTTCACCGATGATTAAGAAATCATAGGGACTATAGTAGTTTGTCATTTGCAGAGAAATCAGTAAATACTGGTTACTGGTTAGTTATCCAGAAAAGTTGGTCATGTGGATTGACTGCCAAGATATGATCAACAAATTAATGTGTTAAAATTGGAGTAAACCAGAAAAAAAATAAACACAGTTAACACAAATGCTGCTACTCTGAGTATATAAACTTTGGATAAAATTTTTTAATATATCTTTTTGCATATTGTTGCATTGGTTATTCAATGAGCAATTTGAAGCTTTCTGACAACTACCTGCTTCAATCAAACTCAATATGCAAGCAAAACATTTGAATTTATTATTCTCAAGTCTAAACTAAACTGCTGCATACTCAAAATCTAAATTTGTTATTCTCTGCAATAAGTTGATATCATGTAAATGACTGGGTAGGTATGTGGCTTTGAGTTGTGTAAGGACTTTGGAGACAATGGCTGGTATTTTTGTATTTTTATGACCTATCAAAAATTATATAAATTTTATCTTAAGAAATTTTAGATGAATTTTATTTTAAGAAATTCGTATCAACTACATCTGTCTATCTCGATTAAACTTTCAATATTCTTATTTATGTGTGTCTCTCTTTTCAAGGTTTGGAAGTTTTCTTTTCTTCTTGTCAAATTTAGTAAATGAAAATTTTATCAAACTATGTGACAACGTTAAAACTATGTTAGTTAACAAATGATGATCTTAAATCACCTTAACACCACAAAAGTTCAAACCGAAGTCAATTTTATTGCAATAACACAGCATAACAAGAGGCCAATCACTGTAAGGTAAATCTTCTACCTGTGGTACATATACAATGATATCACAATGTTAACTGCCTCTGGCCATCTATATATACTTGATGAAGTACACACAATTTAAGTGAAAATACCAAGATATGTCAAAATGTTATGTAAAATAGCTAAGTCATGAACAAGACCCCTGAAAAATCTAACTTTAAGCCTGCTTCTCAGTTCTGTAATTAATCAAATTGTTTAAAATCTGTTTTCTGATGTATTAGAATAATGTTTTGTTTTTTAATCATCAAGCTAAAATGTTTTCTGTAAACCTAACCTAGCAATCATTTAATTTCCATAGTTATATTCATGAAGCCTGGCCAGGATCAAAACTTTGGTCGCTCTATTTTTCTGTCTCCCTTATATTTAAAATGGACTGTTCCTAACTAAAGACAGGGCAAATCCATTATACAAATTCAGTAGGTTAAGGGTTACATTGACACAAAGCCATGTTGTTAGGTACCACAAATTGGTATCACTTAAACTCTCAAAAAGTCATACATTTTTAATTCATATTGATAATGGTTACAGCAAGCATAAATTAAATGCAAAACTATATCCTGTTCATACCATTTGATTAAAGCAGTAACTACTCAATATGTAGCCAGAAGGTTACAGAATGATACACAGTTTACACAAAAGTTATTTGTGAACAGCTTGTTCAAAATTTGTCTCCCTGTTATACATGTATATAATGAAGGAAAAAATAAAATGAGCCGCGTCATAAATAAACCAACATAATGGGTTTGCGACCAGCATGGATCCGCACAGTCTGATCAGGATCCATGCTGTTCGCTATCAGTTTCTCTACTTGTTATAGGGTTTGTAAGCAAACAGCATGGATCCTGATCAGACTGCGCGGGCTGGTTTGGATCCATGCTTGTCGCAAACGCATTACGTTGGTTTTGTCATGACGCGGCTCAAATGTTTGTATTAATACTCACCACCACCAAGAATGTAAGAACCCAGGCGGCTCTCCTAAAGTTATGTTTTTCTCCCATCTTATCTGTAATTATAAAAGGACTATATGAATATACCTAATAACTGTAGATGTTGTTTACATACCATCCATTACCTCCCTTGGTTGACATTTTGAGTGTCATTCCAAAAACATTATATACCCGACTGCTTAATATCAGACAAAATTTCTAAAAAAATTTATTATTATTATCATAAGACCAATTTTTCTATTGGTGTTATATTAATATTTTGTTTAACATATGTGAAAGAATTTAACAAATTTTCCTAATAAATCATCAGTTTATTGACTTTATTTACATAATATTATGTTAATTCTATACATTGAATAATGACCCAACAAAAGGCCTTCACCTTTGTTTAAGAGAGCTAAATGTCAGGAACAGATAAACTGTATAAGTGTTAATCTCATGATAACATAATGACAATATCTTCAATGCTTAGTCAAACTAGAAAATCCATCCTAATAGAACAGTAAAAGTCTTCTACATGATGATATATTTGAAATCATATAACCTTTTTTGTATCATATATGATTATTAATTAATATAAACTGTGAACTGTGAAACATAAAAGCCAGATATATTTTCAATTTGGCACAGACTTTCTGGAACTCAGTTTAGACAAGACCCGGGCATCATGAGTATTGTACCGATTTCTCTATCTATTCCATGTCTGTCCTAGAAAAAAACTATGCAAGCAACTAGTTGTTATTGAAGGCAAAATGGGCATAATTTTATTTACATTATTGCATGTGTTTGCTTTGTTTATTTTTTTAAAATTAAAGAGAAAACTCCTTCCAATTAAGACATTAACAGCTTCATAAATTGAGGGGATTGCTTTTTTGCTTATCAAAAACAGTTTGGCTTTTTCATCTTTTTAAACAATTTTAAGGCATATCTTTGTTGATGATTCCTAACTAAAGTAAGTTATTTTGTTTCAAAAGGGATACAGTATAGACACTGGATGCATTGTAGCATACAGATTTTTTTTTTTTCATAGTAACTTATGACTCCATTGTTTTATAAAACTGTGTAGAGTAGATTATTTTAAGTAATATAAATACACACAAAAATTTGATTGTGCTTAGATCAAAATTACATTTTTATTACATGAAAATTTTCTTTACTGATATTTGAATGACTAGCCAAAATGGAATTAAACTGAAAATTTACCTTAAAATAATAAAATCAGTAAGAATATCCTTATAGAAATAAAATTAGCTCAAAGAAAAGCTTAAAATGTTTGCAAGCTTTATATTGTTAGCCAAAACATATCCATTATCTACTTAATTAATTGTATCAGACTTTTAATTATTTAAACTGGAATATATAAAGACTACTAAGTCATATACATATGTATCAATATTTCCAGGAGTATTTAACTTGAATCAATTTAAAATATACAGTTACAAGAGTCCTCTGAATTCCAAACATTAAACAGCTACAAGTACAAACAAACCTATGTTCAAGAAGGCATAAATCTAATATGTCTCTTAATTAACAAAGATTTGCATTTTTTCCCCTGATAAATCATTCATGATATTGCTAAAATATAAACATATATAAAATAAGGTTAATTAATATCATTTAGGAAATAGATGCTCAATGAGTTTTTACGTTTACAACAGACGGTTGTCTGTGAGATTGTTGTCTGTCCTTGATCATTGTCCAAGAGATTTAAACTTATCTTAGC